GATGGAGCGGGTCAAATTATTAAATAAATGCGGGACCCGCGGGTTGGAAAAAACCCCGACCCGCGCATCACTAATCCACACACCTTACCAAAAGCCCGCTTCCGTCTTCTTCCGCCTTGTAGGGGACGCATAGCCTGTGACGTAAGCACGTTGTGTCACACTAAAAAGAATCCGTGCAAACGTGAGTTGTTAAATTTAATTAAACGAAGGCTTCGAGGCAGAGGAAATTCCTCAATCATTTTTTGTAATCAAGTTACTCGAGTTACTTGAGGAATCATTGCAGCCCTAAATACAACGTAGCATAAAAGACTCTCTTACCCACAATCTCCTGTGACGCATTAACGTTGCTTTCCTCCACAGATCTCCTACAAAGCCCTAAGCTCCTTCGACACCGAGTTTGACCTGTCCAATCAGAGCGGCAAGGTGTTCAAACCGGCCAATGAGACGAACCACGTGTTCACTGGCCTCTACCCAGGCTCGACCTACTCCTTCACAATAAGAGCCTCAACTGTCAAAGGCTTCGGCCCTCCGGTCGTCACCCAGTTCACCACCAAGATCTCAGGTGTGTGTCCTTCACAATAACACTGACAGGAAGTTCAGGCAACAACCAAAGGGGTCTACCGGGCTCAGAATCAGGGGCCCTTGCAGAGCCTCTTATTGGAGCTCAGTCCCACAATCTTTTTGTCCTGAATGGATCCTAATGTACGGGCTTTTATTATTTAAAATATTTCCAGGTTTTATGGTTTCCTGACGTATTTTGTTCACTGTGTGCAGAATTTTTGCCTTGTGGGATCATTTGCATTTTATTTGAGTAAATATTGGTTCTGTGATCCGTCTTAAAACAAACAGATTTATGTAATAGATACGCCAGCTCAGGTGTTTTAGTGAACTCGTCCTAGGGAATTGATCAGATTGACTTCAAATTTGGTCAGTATGATTTAAAGGCCGTTCAAATTAAATGTTAAGCTGCTTGAACGGCATGTCCTTGGTTTGGTGTTGA